CACAGGATAAATCCATCCACACATCCGTCCATCCGTCCATCCATCCATCCATCCATCCATCCATCCATCCATCCATCCATCCATCCATCCATCCATCCATCCATCCATCCATCATCCCCATGGGTGTGTCAGCAGCTGTCCCTGCAGTGTCCCCGTGGGCTGCCTGGGAGGACAGTGAGTGCTGTGGCCTGGACATTCCGTGGAGTGGATGGAGAACATCCTTAGGGAGAGGATGGAAAACATCCCTGGGAGCAGAGAGGGATCAGGGGCTGCTCAGGGTGGGCTTTGGGCTCAGGTTGAGAGCAGAGGCAGAGAGAGAATCACGGAATTCCTCAGGAAAAGCCCTTGGAGATGKAATCAAAGCAGCACTGCTGAGGTCACCAGTGACCCCCAAAGTCCCCAAATSTGAGGTGGARAKGTCCTGRCACAGATTCCCAGAGAAGCTGTGGCTGCCCCCAGATCCCTGGAAGTGTCAAAGCYGGGTTGGACAGGGCTTGRAGCAGCCTGGGAYAGTGGAAGRGGTTGGGATTGGAACTGGATGATCCTTAAAATTCCCTTCCAACCCAACCCATTTTAAGCTGTGAAAATTTGGGAACAGCTCTCCACTAAAACCAGTGGGGTTGGTACCGAGCTGGATTTCCTCMTGGTGGGATGCAGTTATCCCAGGAACTCAGGTTCATCCCTTCTGAACAAGAATYGTCAGCCCAGCCCAGTTCCAAAGTCTTTCCCAGCTTGGAGTTTTTTGGGCAGAGATTTTGCTCCAGGTCCATGTTTGTGGTGCTGTTGAGGAGGGAAGTTTTGCTCCAGTGCAGCTCTCTCCTTCTGTTTTCCAATTCCCGGATGGATCCGGCGCAATGTGGCCCCTAAAAATAGCTTTAATCAATCAACTTTTTAAAAATAAGAATGTTCCTTAAAATGATGCCAGCACCAGCCGGCGCTGCCTCTTGGGAATTTYATTCTGACTCATTTTTCTTCCAGTTTTTATTTATTTTTTTTTTTCTTGCTCCTGTTTACCAAATATCCTCGAGTTTGGAATGTTTGCGGTGATTTTCCTCCAGGATGAGGCGGATATTGCGGATTTTTTTAAGATGGTTTTTTTTTCCTCGTGGCACAAAGGACTAGGCAGTGGGATTGCTGGAATTTGTTGGGATTTGGGTGACACCCAGAATTTGTTGGGATTTGTGTGAAACTGTCACCTGTCACTTTGAATTCAGTGTTTCCATGCTGGAGCAGCTTCCCAAGGGTATCCAAAATTTTCAGGTGACCCATCCATGGAATGGTGGATGATGGATGGCACAGAGCTGTGGTGGCAGCTGTGGGATCAGGGGGACATGGCAATGGTTGCCTTTTTCCTTTCCCCTTTCCCCTCTTCCCTCTTCCCTCTTCCCTCTTCCCTTTTCCCTCCCCTTTCCCCTCTCCTCCTGCAGCCACTGTTGGGTGACAGATCCATCTTGGGCATTTCAGGATTTTCTCAGATTTTCAAGTGGCCCCATTTCCAAAGACAAAATAATCAGAATTACCCCCCAAATCCTGCTGCTCTCCAAGGAGCAGCACATCCCTGGAATGCTCTGGAATTCCCAGGATATGTCTGGGTGTATAYTTAGTGCATTAGTCACATCTTAACTGACACAAATTGCAACTTCACTCRGCTGCTCCTCCTGTCAACATTCGTTTTTCCTTGGAATTGTAACTGAGATTTACAGCTTTTCCTCGGCCTYGTGTGCAGCATGGACAGATCCATAATAAACAGGATCCTGCCAAATCCCAGCGCTTCAAATAATGGGTTAAGTCTCCAAAATCCCCTGAGTGGCTTAGAAATAATAAGATTATGGGAAAACATTGCCATGATCCTGCCTTGCTGCTGTTCCCGGGTGTCGGGCTCGTGGCTCCTGTCTCTCTCCAACCTGGAATTGGGTTCGGGGTTGGGGAATTTTTAAATGGAGCTGCTCCCTCGGAAGCACCTGGGAATTTGAGCAGCGTATCCAAGGCATGGGATGAAAGCAGCGTGTTTGTCACAGGGGTGATGCCATCCCAGCCTTTTTTGCTGTGTTTRTTGCAGGGGTATTTGTAGGATTTGAGGGATGGATGGTGGAGATGATCTCCATGAAAATGGGGAAGAGACTGCCCTGGGCTGGCTGAGCCTGAGCTGTACCCATGTCCTGGGAGGTTCCAGGTTTTATTTGGAGCTGGAAAGTGACTGAGGGAAAGGGAAGTGGGCACAAACAATGTTGAAGTCTGGTCTGGACTGAGGGAATTTATAATGAGATTTTGAGAACTGAGTTTTGTACTGAGCCAGGCAAGGAATTTTCTCTTGTTTTTTAATTCAAGGGAAATTTGCAATTTTAGATCAGGGTTTGGACGTCCAGACCAGGAAATGCCCCCACAGCACCACAGGGATGTGGAAGGATTTAACAAGGAGGGTGGGGAGGCCTTGCACAGGGTGCCCAGAGAAGCTGTGGCTGCCCCTGGATCCCTGGAAGTGTCCAAGGCCAGGCTGGACGGGGCTTGGAACACCCTGGGATAGTGAGAAGTGTCTAAAATCGGAACTGGATGAGCTTAAAAATTCCCTTCCAACCCAACCCATTTTATGCTGTGAAAATCCTCCAGAAACAGGAACTCTCCCCAGGGTTTTGCTGACTAAAATGWGGGAAACTGCTCTGACCCATCCTTGATTTCCCACCTCTCTTTCCAAACCAAGCCAAGGCCTCACCAGCTCAGCTGGGGCAGYTCCGAGCAGTGGGAAAAGCAGCACTGAGGCATCTTCAGGCAGCCAAAACCCTTCATCCTCCAACCCCTGCTCTTTCCCGGGAGGTGATTCCCATAAATCCCACATAAAGCTGGTGGGAAGCACCGGGAGAGCTTCTCCTGGGAGAACCAGGAGCATCAGCCATGGATCTGGGAGAGCAGACCAACAATTGGGGCAGAGCTGAGTTTGGTGGTACCACTTTTAAACTCGGGTTTAATTTAGGTTTTAGGATTAAGTTTTAGTCCAAGAGTCGTTGTGTATCCCTCCATGCACCTTCTCAAAGARAATCTTCCCAAAAGGGATTTGAGCTTGGCCTGGATATTCCCGAGATGTTGATTCCGCGAAATTTCTGCCAGAGAAGGAAATATCACGTGAACCCCTCGCAGCCCTCAGTGCCTCCAGCTGTTCCCCCGGATCCCCCTGTGGATCTTCCCCTTTCCAAGGAGTTGGGAAGTTGGGAGGCGCTTCCCRAGCCGCGGTTGCTGTGGTAACGGGCGAGCTCCCGGTTTTGCGGAGTCACGGTTTTAGGGGATTTGCCGGGAGGATCCCGGAGCAGCGTGGGGGCAGAGCTGACTTTGGGGGATCATCCCTCACCTCCCTTGACTTCCCAGCTGCAAAACAGCCRGACAGGAGCTGTGGGAACATCCATCGGGAATTCTGTCTGCAGCCCCATCCTTGCTTTTTGTGCAGGTGTAGAGCTGCTCCAGGACTTTTTTCACTTTCTCCTCCCTTTTATTTTCCTGGGAGTTTTCCCATCCTACCAGAATTGGATTTTTCATCCCTGATGGATGTTCCAAACTGCTCCAGGCTCTAGGAAGGATGTTGGGAATGTGCTCTGCAATCCCACCCTGCCAAGCAGCATCACCCCCCACCCACCCAGGGTTTTTTTKGGGGACAACTCCATGGAGCTGCTGGAGCCTGGATGGCTTTGGGGGCTCTGGAAAAGCAGGAAATCAGGGGTTCAATCCCACCTTTGGGGCTCCTGCAGATTCAAGGGTCAGGAAGGGGCAGTGAATCATGGAAGGGAGGAAGAAATTAAACCCAACATTGGAATTTCAGTGGCAGAAAAATCCCATCAGGATCTTCACTCATGGCAGAACTGGAATTTTATTTCATTGATTTCTCTGATTTCCTGCTTTTCCCTTTCAGACAAGTGAAACTTTCCAGGTCTGCCCTGGTTGGTTCCCTGCTCCAAGGTTTTCCCAGCTCTGATTTTCCAATTAAAGCCCCTCCGAAATAGAAACTGGGTAGAGATCAGATTTTAGGGAGCTGCAGGATYTGACCCCACCCATTTCACTTTTTTTTTAATCTGGAACAATAAAAATGTGCAAAATCAGTTGAGGACTGGAGCCCTGCACTTGCCTAATCTTCTGCTGCAACGAATTTTATCCTGAATGGATAARATCCAAGATAAAATATTTCTAAGGGATAAACATGGAAAGGTTTTTTATCCAGGTTTCCAAAGCAGAATTGCAGTTATCAGAAATAACTCGAYGTCTGCACTTCTCTCTGCCTCACCCAGGTGTGGGTTTGGAARCAAAAATGTTCCTTCACATCCAGATGTTTTCCATTCTTTTCCCTAGGAATGGCTCTCTCATTCCCACTCAATTTGTGGAATTAGTCCATCTTTTTGTGGGATTTTTAATTGTCCTGCCAGCATAARCAGCAACCTTGGGCCTATTTTGCACAGATGCAAATCATCACTTCCTGCTTCGATCAATTAATTATCGGTTAATTGAGTACTGGTGGATTCCAGAAGGAATATATGGGGTTTTTGGAGACTGGAGAGATCCAGCTTGGAGCCTTTTCCTTCTTTTCTATGCCCTCTGGATCCTGAATCCCAACATCCCATCCTTGGCCCCACCAGCTTGGCTCTGTATTCCCTTCAGGATGGGGATCTCAAAGTGGAATCTGCCGCTCCTTGAGATGTGGGAATGGGGCTGGAATGAGAGAATCTTGTTCCCAGGACTCCAGAGGGAAACAGAAATGGGGTCAAAATGAGAAAACCTCATTCCCACAACTCTGGAGGGAAACAGGAATGGGGTTGGAGCGAGAGAATCTCGTTTCCACAACTCCAGAAGGAACAGAAGGTGAGCAGTTCATGGATCAGAGCGAGGAATTGGGCACCCCAGTGCCTTTGAGCTGCTCTCTTGGTGTGGGGGTGATTTTCTGCTAAAACTTGGGATTCAGAGCTGGAAAATGGAGACGGGGTCGGGACGGGAGTGGGTTCATTTCCCGGGGTGCCCCTCTGGAGCAGAGCTGTCCTTAACGCCGKCGCCAGCTGGTTCGAGCGTGCCAGCATGCTGGTGATCCTGCTCAACTGCGTCACCCTGGGCATGTTCCGGCCCTGCGAGGACGTGGAGTGCCAGTCGGAGCGCTGCACCATCCTGGAGGTGAGGATCGCGCCAGTCCTGGGATTTGTGGGGTGCAGGGGGGAGCTGGGACCCCATTGTGTTCCTTTTTCCTGTAAGAAGCTTTCCCACAGGGATGGGTTTTCCCAAAAGCCATCGTGGGAGCTGCTTTGGGTGAAGCCTGAGGGCTGATCTGGACCTGTCCCAGCAAGACCCTTCCTYTCCATCCTTAATAAGGGTACAAATGGGAASACAGAYCCCACTGSAGTCCTTGGACACACATTAATMCTATCTYGGATTAATCCAAAYCCYRTCCAACCTGGCCTTGGACATTTCCTGAYAGGTTTTAGGCAGGAAAGGGGTGRAAAATCCCCATTATCCYTCCCMTGTCACARCTTGGAGGARGGATTRGAARCCARAAYATGAGGTGGAAAAGCCTGAACCTCWTTATGGRGATAATTAAATGAAATTAGGGAGCAAAATCTGGGTGTAGTTTATTAAGAGAAAGTTGTTTGATARAGACAAATCCCTCTCCAAAGGCTCTCCTGGAAGGGCTCTGAAGTTTCCCTGGAACATTCTCAGCTCCCCCAGCCTGGCTCCAGAGCAGAGGGGCTCCAGCCCTGGGATATCCTCGTGTCTCTCTCAGTGGATGAGCAGGAGCTGGGGGCACTGCCCAGACCCTGCAATGCCCCAGGAGCTGTTCCAGGGGAGGGGACAGGTGGCATTTGGGGAAGGGAACACGGAATGTCCCATGGTGGGAGCATTCAGATCTCTGAAGTCCTTCTTTCCTGCTCTCCAGGCGTTTGACGACTTCATTTTCGCCTTCTTTGCGGTGGAAATGGTCATCAAGATGGTGGCCCTGGGCATCTTTGGGCAGAAGTGTTACCTYGGAGACACCTGGAATCGCCTGGACTTCTTCATCGTCATGGCAGGGTGGGTAACAGCCTCACCCATTTATCCTGAGAGCAGGAAAATCCCAGGGAGCCGAATCCATGGACTGTCCTGGCTCGTTTTTGGAATCTCCCAAGTCTTGGTTTTTCATTTGCCACCCCAAAGCTGCACTGGGATGGTGGGAGGTGTTCCTGAGGGTGGAACTGGATGATCTCCAAGGTCCCTTCCCATCCAAACCGTCCCACAATTCCATGAATTCTCCACTGTTACCAACACCAAACACAGCAATCCCATTCCAGATGGATCAGCCCGACTTTCCCATTGTTCTGTAGGAAATTATTCCCTCATCAGGGCAGCTCCCAGGAGAGTTGCTTGGGTTTGGGGTGGGTTAGATTGTGGGTTTTTTGTAGYGATTCTTCCATCTCTGTCAGATCAGCACATCCGGATCTGATCCAGAGTGTCCCAGTGCTGCTGTGTCCAAAAAAAAAAGCCCAGAGCAGCTCAGCCCCTCTCCTGCTCCATGTCACCATCAGAGAGAGGTGGGAATGGGGCAAATAAAGAGAAGGCAGCCCAAAAATCCCATTAAGAAGGTGGGAAGAGCTGACCAGGAGTTAACCCAAATTCCAAGCCTCCTGGAAACTCCTCCTGCTGTACTGAATTCCTGAATTCCCTCTGCCCCAGCTGCTKCTTCGAGCAGGATGTGTTAACAAACAGCTCCAAGGACAATCCCATTGCTTTTGACACCACTTCCCTCATCCCCACAGGGAATAACTGAGAGGAGTAAAACCTTGGCAAAGCTCAAACTTGGGGGTTTTTTTTCCCAATAAATAAACAGCTTTGGACAGTCCAGGCTCTCCTACCTGCCCAGCACATTCTGGAAAGGGATGGAAAGCTTTAATTACTGCCTGAGCTCTGAATTCCTGGGTTCCTAATGACCAGCCTGGGGTTAATTAAAACATCCCTGTAACATGTTGGGGCGTTTTTCCCCTTCCATTAGTGYTGTGCCATCCTCCCTGCGCTAATGGAGTTTTGTTGTGCTGTTGCTCYGTGTTATTTGTCGGGAATACAATTAGGAGCAGCTTTAGTGCCTTGAATAAAACATGAGCRCTCCTGAGCGGAGCTTCCTCGGAACTCGGGTGCAGTTCCAGCCTGGGAAGGAACATCAGGGACAGCACAAGAATCTCATCATTCATTATTTCTTCCTTAATTATGTTTTCCTATAAWGCTGCTGCAGTGTTTAAGTGAGGAGTGGTAGGGGAAGAGCAGAGGGAACTCGGGCTCGGGATTTTGCCAGCCGTAACCAAGGTGCTGATGGTGTTTTTTCATACTGGATATCTGGGATTAGCCCTCCTGAGGGTGAGCAGGGAATCCCCAGCTCCTCAGAGATCTCCTAAACCCAGGATTGAGGGATCCTGAGAAGGCAAAAAGGTGAAGCCCTCTGCTCAACCCCAGGGGCAGCTTTGGCATCCAGAGTTTTTGTGGGATGAGGGGGAAAGGGGCTGGTGAGTCCATTCAGGAGTTTTCCAAGGTTTTTCCCCACCTTCCATGGCTTGAATATGTTTGAGGAACAGCAGGAGACACTGCTGCCTGTCTTGCATTACCCAGGTTGAGGATGAGGAGAAATAAAAACCCTTCCCTGGCTGATCCTGGGCTGTCTCCAGACTGTTTTGGTGGATCTGAGCCATCCCTGGGATGTGATTTCAAATCTCTTTGAAGAGAGGCTGGAGCTGGGAGCARCCCTGGGGGAGGAAAAGCTGTGCCATGGGCTGGGCTCCCCTCTGCCAGTACCACCACCCCTCAATCCTCTGTGTGATCCTGAACCCGGAGGGGTTTTCAGCCGGGAACTCAGCAGCAGGGTAACAAAGCTGCTTTTCCCAGTGAGGGGATGGATGTGCCCAAGCCATTCTGAGAATTTTTGGGATGAGAAGAGGAACAATTGCCAGGCAGTGCTCACTTTGCCTCCTCAGAGGAAGAGCAGCATTCCAGAGGGAGCAGGGAAACCAGGGAATAAATGCTGCATATCGAGTCTGAGGTTCCTTCCAGCTCCCAAAATCCTCGTGTTTTTCCTTGCCTCAGAGACATTCCCTGGAAAATCCCAAACCTGATGGAGTTCATGGCCTCTCCATCTGTCCAGCAGCCAGAGTTTSCAAGCATTTCCCCAGCACCAGGGATGTTGCTCAGCAGAGCTGRAACCAGAGGGGTTCCTGGCCCATCCAGTCCCTGGGGACATTCCAGGCTCCCAGGATTTATTTTGCACTGGCCAGCRGAAGGTTTGGAAGCTGCTGTGTTCYCTGTGCCAGCAGTGAGGGATGGAAGGGACCTTAAATCCCATCCCATTCCATGGCAGGGACCTCTCCCGCTRTCCCAGGCTGCTCCAAGCCCATCCAACATGGCTTTGAGCACTTCCAGGGACACAGAATTGCATCCATTGCACAACGGGTGGATTTGCCCTCCAGCAAAGCTGCTCCTGACCCTGATTCCATGCCAGGTCTGATCATCCCCCCATCCTGACCCCTTTCCCGTTTTCCCTGCAGGATGATGGAGTATTCCCTGGATGGACACAACGTCAGCCTCTCGGCCATCCGCACTGTCCGTGTCCTTCGGCCGCTGCGAGCCATCAACAGGGTCCCGAGTAAGTGACACTTCCCGGGCACAGTGGGGTCTGGGAAAACTGGAAAACMCTGGGAATAAACCCACCCCACCTGGCTCTGTGCTGTGCATTAATAATCTGCTCTCTTGCTGCTGGGAGTAAATGAATTTATWTTAATTTTTAATTAAATTAGTAAATGTAGAAATGACATTTTTGTAATCGGTGTTAAAAAAGGGCAAAGGAGTATATTTTAGGGAATTGACCCCAGGGGCAGTTTTCCAATGTTTTTRTGACTTTTCTAAGGACAATAACTCTGCTGACAGTGTAATGTAAATAATGTTTCTACAAAAAAAGGGAAAAGGTCACTCCTAAGAGGGATCCTCTTGCCCTGATGGGTTTATTTTCCCTCCTCAGCCATTTAAGGTCTTTCCATGTCTTTATGTTTGGGATTAGCAGCTCGGGAGCCTTCGTTGTTGCAAAAACCCCATGGAGGGTTCATTCCACGTGAAACAAAATCGGGATCATCCAGGATGGGAAGTTCAAGTGGGTCCTAAATCCATTTTCAAGTGGCTTCAGCTGCTTGGCTTCTAAATCCAATTTGAAAGCTGAGCCACCAAGTTGGAATAATTCCCTGCTGGAATCAGCCAGCTGCTGAGCCAGCCTTTGCAAGGTGCTCAYTGCACAACAATTCCAGCCGTTTTTAACCCAAATCAGCTCCAAGCAAAATGCAAGGGTGTTGTATGGAAATCGTACGGATCCTTGCAAAAAAAAAAAAAAAAAAAAAAAAAAAAAAAAAAAAAGGTATGTTATGTTTCCTGTTCTGTTGGAAAGCACTTGGAGCAGCCCAGCCCCACATCCTGCACCTTTCAATCCTCAAAACCCATCACAGCTCCCCTATGGAATAACAGCAATCTCAAACTGGGATTCAGCTGGGCTGAGGGCAACAGTCAGGGGAATTTGAGGATTTACCCCAAGCTCCAAGGATCCAGGACTCTGGAAGCTTCAGGTGGAATTTTGCTCCATGTCGGACTTGTGTTTGTCTCCCTCCTCTCTGACACCACATGAGCCTTCCAAGCTGATTTTGCTGCACTTCCCGGGGGATTTTCATGTTTTTCCAGCAGACAGGTGATAGAAAATATTTCAATTTTTTCTGGTTAATATTATGTGGGATGAAATCCAGGGAGTTCCATCCGTATTTGGAGWGTGAGGAGCAGCTGGGCTGGGCTGACACCACCACCAGAGCCTGGAGCAAGCACCAGGATTAGGATTCCTAGAAATTATTCCCAGAAATATTCCCATTCCTGGAGGGTAGCCTCCACTTCTTTAGGAGACATCAACTCCATCCTCTTGGAACGTTAGGAATGTTGCTCTTTCAGACTGATACATYTCAGAATCTGTGGAGAAGGGATGGGGAAACCCCTGGATTTTGGTGTATTTTTGAAGTTTCATTTTCATCCTTTCATCCATGGGGATGCCCCACCTTAGCCAAGTAATTTCCTGGAATTCCAGCATATCCCAGCAGTGGCAAGAGGGCAGCACCATCCATGTCCAGCACCTGGGAATGGGATTTTTGGCTCAGGAATGGACACACAGGGATGTGGAGCAGCTCAAATTTACATCTGGATCAGAAGAGATGGACCTGGCRTTGAATCACCCCCTGGGAAGAACAGGGAGAACCAACCTGAAGATTTATCCCTGGAATTCCTGGGCTCTTCCCTGGGATCCAGCCAGCACTGTCAGCTCTTCGCCTCCAGGCATAATAAATTCACCCACGGGATGATTTCATTTCTATGCTGTTGGTTAAGAAAAGAAAGAAGAACCCCAGCCAATAAAAACATCACTCCTATTAGAAATTATTCCTTCCAAACCGCTGGAAAAATAGAATTCCTGCAATTTATGCACTTGGCAGGGKCTGGAGTCAAGGATTTTTTTTCAGCAGTGGTCACTGGGGTTGATTTTTTTTTTCTCCAATCCATTTCACTGCTTTATTTTTATTTTTCCACTGTGTGGTTGAAAGCAGGMCTTGGATGGAACAGGAATGATGATCCCGATCCTTGTTTCAGCTGAAGGGATGCTCGTGCTCTTTCCCCCTGGCACATTYGGCATCCCACTGGGAGCCCGGAGCAGTTGGAGAACAGATGGATTCCATCTCAAGGATGGTGTCACTGAACAGCCCAAAACACTGAAAGGAGCTGGGCAGGAAAAAATTGTTTGGCACAGGGAGAAGAGTTTTACCCATTTTTGGAAAAAAAAGAGAGAGAGATATCAGTGAGAAGGGGGGAAAAACCAGGAGAAAAGTGCAGCATTATCTTTCCAGTGGGCCACCCTCTGGAGATTGCTTTTTATTCCCATTTTCTGAGCCTTTCRCCCTCCTGACCTCCCTTCCCAGCCTCAGGGTTTGGGGGAAAAACCAACATCCCAATTTTCCTCCTGGGGACACCCCAAGGTGGGAATGGAGCATTCTCCCCATCACATCCCAGTTTTCCCTCCTCCCCCAGGTATGAGGATCCTGGTGACCCTGCTGCTGGACACTCTGCCTATGTTAGGCAACGTCCTCCTCCTGTGCTTCTTTGTCTTCTTCATCTTYGGCATCGTCGGCGTCCAGCTCTGGGCGGGGCTGCTGAGGAACCGCTGCTTCCTGGACAGGAATTTCGCCATGTGAGTACAGCAAAATGAAGAATTTTTCACCTTTCCCTTCCTTTCTGTCTGTCCCCTGTTGGAAAAATCCTGGCACTCAGCAGGGCTCTGGGTCCAGCTGGGAATTTTTTCTCTGAAAAAATCCCATTTGTCAGCAATTTCCTCGGGGTTTGAGTGGCGCTTTTGTGTTTTCCTGCTGCACCTGAAGGACAAGGATRGCAGAGGGTTGGATTAGCTCAGCTTGAGATCCCTGACACTGGGAATTGGAGGATTTAGAACAAATTCCCAGTTCTCCAAACAGTTCAGGTCACCTAGCACACCCCAACCCCTGGCAGGGGGGCAGTGAGAGGGAAAAGCTGATGAAACTCAGACAGAAATCCTTTTTGGGGGTTTAAGATAAGAAGCCAGATGTGAAAAACCTTAAAATCACTTGGACACAGCTCAGGGTATGGGACAGGCATCGGGAATGGGCAGCACCTGGAATCACAGAMTCTTTAAGGCTGRAAAGCACCTCCTGAGATCATTGAGCCCAAATTTCATTAGGCCAATTTTCCTTTCAGTTCTTCCAGGCAGGGAATTTTTCTGCGCATCACCTGAGACCCCTATCCACCTCCACCCRCCCCCTGCCCTGCTGAGCCTCACCTGGGACCCCCACCCACCCCCAGCCCCATTTAAGCAGCTCCATTTAAGCCCAGCCCAGGCTCTCAGTCCCAGTTTGGGCTGAGCTGTGGGGTTTGTTCCAGGTACCTTTGTCCCCTGCCCGAGCTCCCTGGGTGAGTCCTGGATCTGCTCATCTTCGGCTCTGTGGGGGCTTTGCCTCGACCCCACTGCCCACCCTGGGCTGTCSCTGCTGGRTCAGAGCGGGATYGTGGAGATGCTGCTGGAGCTGGGATGGCTCCAGGTGATTTTGGGGGGCTTTGCCCAAGTCCYGGTGCTCGTTGTGATGTAAGTCACAGTATTCCAGAGGAATTTGGAGAAGGGAGGCTGCTGGGGGACCCATGGGGCAGGAATGGTGGAGGAAGGGCTTTCCCAGCTCGGTGTCAGCAGGAGGAATGTGGGGATCTCAGTACCTCAACCCARTGCTGCTGGGCTGGGTCGAGCTCTCTGTCCACGTTCACCCCCAGCACAGCACCGGGATGGAGCCCCAGTGCAGCCAGCATGGAAAAGCCAGCTCCATCTGGGAAAATCCTCCAGGAAGGCTCCTGTCAGAGCTGTCAGCAGCTCAGGGGTGAGGGAATGCCCCAGCCCAGCTCTTAGGGCACCTCTGGCTCTTCGGGAGGAGATGGAGCCTGTAATTACAGCCYTGGCTAATCACCCGCTGTCTGCGCTCGGATGGGCTGTGGGACAGGCAGGGAACATCCCCCAGCTCCTGCTGCTGCCTCTCACCGCTCAATCCTGGTGCTTTCAGCTCCCTGAGCCTTTCCCCGTCCTCTGCACCAGCTCTGGGGGCATTTGCTCATCCGAGCAGAGGTGCTGAAAGGTGGAAAATGGATGAATTTGCCATGGGTGTGATTCCACTCCCGCACCCCGATGCTCCAAACCCTCCCCTGCAGCCCCAAATTCCCATGGACAGGAATTTGCTGTCCATGAAAACCCTCCACACTCCATGTGACCCCTGAGCTGGCATCCCAAAGCCCAGATTGTGGTGCTCCAGCCCACATGGAATCCTGGAATGGGTTGGAAAGGACCTTAAAACTCAGCCAGTGCCACCCSTGCCGTGGCAGGGACATCTCCCACTATCCCAGGCTGCTCCAACCTGGCCTTGAACACTTCCAGGGATGGGAAATCCCTGATTTCTCAGGCCACAGAAGTTTCCTAGCCCTTCAGGAGGCTGGGAGGGGCTGATGATGGATGGGCAGCCAAGCTGGGGCTGAGCACAAGGTCCTGGCCCAGATTTCCTTTACAGCCCCTTAGAGAGGAAAACCAGAATTACTGGAGGGTCTCCCCTTGGTGCTGCGGCCAAACCCTCCCAGCTGAACTCAAAACTGCTTTAAACAGAGGATCTGGACAAAATCCAGGGGTCAGGGAGGGCCCTAACCCCAAATTTTCTGGATTAAAGGAGGTGTAAGTRAGCTGACAAACAGGTCAATCACAAACCCAGCTTTGTCCTGCTACGTTCTGCCCTGCAGCTTCCTGGGCCTGCAGCTTTTCCAGAGGCATCAGATGGAAGAGCTGACTTTGATTTTTGCCGTCATTCTTCTTTCCCACGGAAACCTTTTTYCTTTTCAATCTCCCTCAAAAAGTTGGCAGCTTCAGGGGAAATCAACTATTTTTAAGTGGAGCACATTGTGATAGAAATTGGGGAACTTTTTGGAGGTGCATTGGGAATTTCTGCTTTTTCTTTCTCCCTCTTTGAGAGCTGCACTGTTACAGTGCTGGAATGAGGTTATTTAAGGATTTTAACAGTGATTTTGAAGGAATTGCTGGGTTGTTGCAGTAGAGAGTTGGAACTGGGTCTCTGGCCCTAAATTGGATGTGTTTGYTGGCATTTTGGATCCCTTCCTGTCCCATGGAAGCAGCTCCTTCCCRATGGGATGGAGGCTCTGGGAAGAGGGAAGGGCTGGGCTGGAAGTGCCCCCCAAGTGACTGATTCTGTCACAGGGACAAGTTTCAATTGGTGAATGATTTTGGGGAAGGCTGTGAAAGTGAGGACGGGGAGGAAAAATTCGTTGAGGGAGCAGCCAAACCCAACCAGGTTTCTCCCACCCCTCCCAGCCAAGCTGTGCTTCATTTTCCCTCTTGGATTTTCCTCCCCCAGCCACCAAATGGGGCCATTTTTCTGCTACTCCCAGTGGTTCTTTCCCAGATCTTCCCTGGGCAGCCTCCCCGACCCCAGCCCGGGCTCTGTGTCCTGAGGCAGCTGCTCTGCACCCCAAAATTCCCTCAAAGGCCACTCCTGGGATGCACAGACAGTGTGGGGCTCGAGGCATTCCAGTGGGATGGTCACTGATCCCATAGTTTGCCACTTGGGAGTTAGTCACTTCTCAGGTGTCTCCTCTCTGCTCCTTGTTTCTTTCCCCAGATTTTCCAGCAGTTCCCGAGTTTTCCCACACCTGGGTGTGTTTGAAAGTTCTGAGCCCCCCTCAGTGTGGCCCTGCTGGCTGGGGTGTCTGCTGTTCTCCCAGACACGCACCTGGCCCCTTCTCCAGCCCATTTTCAATGGAAATCTCCTCCCAGGAAAGCCAGCTGGCKGGAGGGCAAGGAAAAGGCTTGCAGGCAGTCTGGGAGGAAAAATATCTTCCAGGTTTTTGTTGAATCCAGAAACAGGGCAGATGATGTTACAGCTTTGTCTGGAAGGGTGGGATGTGCGAGGAGAGGGGAGGAGCTGCCGGACACAAATAATTCCCAGCCAAGCATGCCCAATCCCTGGGATGTGCTGCTCTTTCCTATCCCATTCCTGAAGCCGACAAGCCCTCCCCACCCATCTTAAGTAATTGGATGCTGGAAGAGAACCAGATTTCCCAGGAAAGTCGTTGAGGGCTGATTTCCCCTCAGCCCTGCAGCAATCGTTCTCTCCTTAAAATGCAGCAGCTCCTGCTTGGCTCGAGGGGTTTGGGGAGCAATTCCAAGCAATTGTGTGGAATAACACTCGTTAAAGCCCAATCTCTGCACYAGATAGGGACATTCAGAAGGAGATAAAAATAGAGCTGTCCTGGCTGGAAGAACTTCCTGCTCATCGCCTGCCCGGATCTCATTTAAAGAGGGTGTTGCCTCTCCCTTATCTCCGGGTGGTTATGGAAGATCTGGGATCTCTGGAGCTCTGGGAACAGTGGATAAAGTCGGCTCTGGAGCAGTGCAGCTCCTCAGTAAGCCCTGAGTGATGCTGGCTCTCCCTGAGCACCCACAAATCTGGGACACAGCTTGGGAAAAGGCAGATCCTGCCGTGCTGCAATTCCAGCATTTCCTGGTCCAGGCTGTAGCAGAGCTGTCACCTTTATCCAAGCTGGTTACCCCAGATATGCAGGAAGCACGTGGTTCCCATCAATGTGGGCTCTTCCTTTTTCCCTGGAAGTGCAGAAGGAACTGGAGATGGCCCTGACTGGTCTCTCCTTGTGAAAGTTCATCCTGAGGGGGAAATTTATTTGGGAAGCTGCTCTGCCATCAGAGGAGTTATCTGCAAATCCCTCCAGAGAACCCAAAACTCCCTGCATTTTTGGGAAGAATCTGCCCTGCTGGGATTTTCTCTCCATCCCCTCTCATTTATTGCTTTTAACTGCTTTGTTTGCTTGGGGAAACTGGGGCTGACCTTTCCTGGGAGATCCCTGGGTATAAAGGGATTTTCAGGGGATTTTAGGGGCCATAATTTTGCCTGGGACTCACTGAAGGTTGAAGGAACAGCAACCAGCACCTCTTCCTGCCACTAAAACAAAGGATGACCCTCTTTTTCCTCACCCTCTTCCTTCCTTCCTTGCTCCAGGACGTACAACCTGACCTTCCTGCACCCCTACTACCGGCCGGACGAGGCGGAGGAGAACCCCTTCATCTGCTCCTCGCACCGGGAGAACGGCATGCAGAGGTGCTCCAACATTCCCACCAGGAAGGAGTTCAAGGTGGAATGTACTCTGAGCATGGATTCCTACAGYGCCAGCCTGGCCAGCCCCGAGCCCAGCAGCCGCAATTCCTGCATCAACTGGAACCAGTACTACAACGTGTGCATGGCGGGGGATGTCAACCCCCACAATGGAGCCATCAATTTTGATAACATTGGATATGCCTGGATTGCCATTTTCCARGTAGGATTCTCCCAATAATTTTGGGGTTTTTCCTGTTTCCGTTGGGTTTTTTGCTCAGAAAGGTTTTGGTGAATGCGCCAGAGGAAGAAGGAATTTGCTTGGCCCAGAGTGGAACTGCAAATAAAGGAAAGGAATAAATGAATCAGGCAATGAGTGATGTAAGGGAGCGTTTGGAGAGAAAAAACTTTGGGTTTTTCATGCGGTTTAGAAAAGGGGGAAAGCAATTACTGAGGCAGAAAATCCTTATGGYAAATTCCACCTCTGGAAATTGCATAAATCCCAGGGATTTTTGGGAACAGGATCTTTGTTGTTGTAGCATCAGGAAACTGAAAGTGGTATTGGGTTTTTTTAAACAAGATTTAATTTCATTTTGAAACAAAGAAACCTGGCACGGCTTAGGCTGGGTTTTAAATCTCAGGGTGATCCTGGTGAGCATGGAATGCTGGAAGGGGGAAAAATCCTTTCTGGACAGAATTCCTGTGAGGAAATTCTGCCCGGAGGGAATTTTGGTCTCTTTTGAGCCMCAGCTCTTCAGCAAAGCCCAAAGTGCTGCTCAATCAGACTGGGGGAGATTTTACAGGTGACAAAATACTGCTGCAGCTGAAATATTTTCCAAGCATTTGTGGCTCTGGAACATTRGAGTTCAGTCCAGAGGCTGTGGTTTCCCAGGGCTGCCCCAGCTGGCCTGATTCCTGTGCTCTTTTCCMTTTTTAATGGGCACTTCCTGGTTTTTGAGCATTTCTTTGGCTTTGGCTGGATGCCCTGCTCAGATCAGTCCTCCTGAAGTGGAGGTGGCATCTCCTAGAGGAGAGGAGAATTCACCTTTTAGCTTTGTTAATGATGAGTAATTACCCATTCCAGCGCTCTAAAGTTAATTTATGGATTCCATTCCAGCTCCACATTATCCCAGGAACTTGGTAACTCCCAGTTTGCACCTGGGAGTTGGAAATGTTGGCTCTGAGCATACACAGGAGCTGCCCTGGGATCACACTGCTGGTGCCAGAGGCTCAGAGCCAAATCCGGGGGGGTTCAGGCAGATCCCACCGGGCTCTTTGGGAAAACGCTTTGGAATTAGTGAGGAAGAGAGGAGCTGCTGGCTGGCAGTGAGTGCTGGAGAACGGGAAGAGGGAATTCTCCTTTTCCTGCTCTGGAACAGCCTTTTGACAGATCTGAGGGATGTTCCCAGGAGATCCCACCTGGCTCCCACCACAGGGCAGGGATGCTGAGGAGGAGCAGGAGATTCTCCAGAGGAGTTCTGCTTCCTTYTCCCTTCCAGAGCCTTTTTCCAGGCTGCAAATTTTCATTCCATCTCAGCATTTGATTTCCTCACCCTCAAAGGGCTCAGTCTTATTTCAGGAAGGACCCCCCTCCACCTCAGGAGAGGCTTCAGCCAATCCCTGAGGGCAGAGCAGTGTCTGGAAAAGCCTGATCTCAGATCCYTTTGGCAGCTGCCAAGAGTGATGATTGGTTTTTAGGCCATCCAAATGCTCCAGAGGATTTCCWGCCAAAAACTCATCTCACGTCTTTATTCCTTTTGGAAGTGAGGGTCGATTTTTAGAAGCTGGGAGTGATTTAACTCCAGGTAAAGTGGCAGCTGTGGGGAGCAAGGTGCTGGCTCAGGCTGGATGTGGGAGGAGGGAATTGTCAGAGCAGGAGGTGAGGCRTTCAATCCAAACAATCGCCAGAAGCAGAGAACATTCAGCGAATAAATCCATGGAATTGCGCTCTCATCCCATTTAATAGCTGGAGCTGGATAGCACCAGGTCAGCAGTTGGATGAGGGCTCTGAGTAAGTGGTGCAGAAAGTACAACTGATGGATTGGGGAGCTCAGGAGCTTCCCTGGGGATTGGTATTGAATTACTGGGATGAGCCAGGGCCAATTGTCCGGAGCAGTTATTCTGGGGGATAATGAATCCATGGCACTTCGCAGGAGTTTGATGGAGCTGCCCTCGTGATTTATCCCAAATGAGCCAGGAATCTCGGTTTGTTCAGCCTGGGAAAGAGGCAGCTCCGAGGTGACCTTCCAGCACCTGAAGGAACTGATGGGAAAAATGGGAGAGATTTAAAAAGGGTCTGGATTGCCAGGAGAGGGGACAATGGGTTCAAACTGCCCGAGGGCAGGGAGAGATGGGATAGTGAAAAGGAATGTGAGGATGGGGAGGCCCTGGCAGAGGCTGCCCTATCCCTGGAAGTGTCCAAGGCCAGGCTGGACAGGGCTTGGAGCACCCTGAGATCGTGGAASGTGTCCCTGCCCATGGCAGGGGGTGGCACYGGCTGGGTTTTAAGGTCCATTCCAACYCCAACCATTCCATGATTCTGGRATCTGGTGCGGGTTAGAAGCTGAAGTGAGGGGGATGAAGGGAGCCCCACAGGGGAGATCCAGAAGGAAATTACCAAGGGTTCAGTTGGTTAGTGTTCAGACCATGGAAAATCCAAACCACAAGCAGACTCTGCAGAAAAGTCTGAAGATTTCCACTCCAGAACATCCTGCACATGGAGCCCAGGGCAGCAGGATGGGTGAGCTCTCTCAGCTGCTGAAATTGGGATTTGGTAAAGCCCTTTCACTCCATGGCAGTGAATCTGAACTTCCAAGGTCTGGGACAGGCGACTGCAGGAAAACCAGGAATTGTGTAGTCAACCTTCCAAGGAGAAAAGAAGTCAGAGATGGGAGAACCTGATGCAAATAAAAAAATCTTTGAGTAGTAAAGGGAATGGCTGTGTCCCTGGGYGCCTGGAAGGACAATAATTCCTGATGTAATCCTGCAAATTATTCCTGTTTCGCTTCCCCTCATTTGCTGTGTGTGAGGCTAATTCGTGCCTGTGTTTGTCACAAAGGCACGYTCAGTGCCAAATTAGGCGAACTAATTAGCTAATTACAGCCTAAATGGGAGGAGATGGAGTTGAAATTAACTGGGAGGTTTGGCCTGATATGAGGATCCCTTCATTGCACACGAATTCCAGCCGCAGCCATCTAAGTAGGAATTACAGGTATCGCTGTCACACGGCAGGTAATGGATTATCCCCCTCGGAAAAGCCCAATTTTCTTGGAATTACTGATGGCCCCARTGCAGCAACCCAAACCTTCCCACCTCCCTGCCCAGCAGGCTCAGGGAGGCCAGCCCTAGAGCAGAAATCCCAATAAAATAAAAGGGATTGAGGAGCTGGGAGAAAGTTTGGGAAGAAGAGATGTTTCAGCTGCTTTGTCTAAGGGTAGAACCATTGATTGGGGAATTTCCCATGGGATTTGTGGGAGACTGGACTCACACTTTGCTCCAGGGTGGCACTTCAGGCAAAAGCTGAAGGGGAAAACCATCCCAGACAGATCTGAGAAGAAGCAAAGGGAACACCCAGTTCCTCCTTACCTCCTTTTGGGATGTGCTGGGTAGAGCTGAGCCTGGAGAGCAAATCCATCAGGAAAAATGGCTTGGATGCTTCAGGAAATGTCCCTGAAATTCAGGAAATGCCCATCCAGTCCAGGAGAGATCTTTCTGGCACTCAGGAGTGACCTTTCCTTGCTCTGCTTCTGGAAGCTCAAGCTCCTTACAGAATCCCAGCTCCAGAATGGTTTTCCTGTTGGCTCATGCTCTGTACAAAGGTGTTGTTAATTCCCTGCTCACTCTCCACTGCACCCTCTGCTCTCCCGCCTCCAGCAGTCCCACAGATCCTGGGAAAGAGCCAAAAAACTGGAACAGAAGGAAAAGGTCTGAGGCTTCCAGCTGCAGCTGTTTGTGCCTAAAGTCACTTCAGGGCTGTTTTCAGGAKCTGGGTGCCCATGTTTGCAGCGTTCATTGAGCAGAGAAATTCAGGATTTGGGGCCAAAAGGACTTTTTTTCCTGCACTGGTTCATTCTTTAAATTGGAGATCCRTGTCAACAATGCTCCTCTGTGCAGAATTTGGCAAGAGAAGAGCTCRGAGCTTTTCATTCCCACTGCTTGGAGCTGATGCTTTGTCACTCAACTCAGATCTGTTTTGGATCACCGAAAATATTTCCCTCGAAATGACGGGGTTTGAGCTCTGTTGGTGTTGCTTTTTTTAATTTGGTCAGCCAAATAAACAGCGCTCGCTGCATTTGAAGAGCTCTCCGGCTGAATACCCCATCTAAAAATACCCAGCCCTTTTCAAGCAGCTCCGAGCACGCTTCCAAGAGGGATTTGTTGCTTWTGGAAAAATCTTCGTTTTGAAGGTTGGGAGGAGGTGTCTCCTATAGGACAGGGCAGAGGGGCCACCCTGATCCCAGAAATGGTCCCATAGCCGATGGGAGGTGTTGGATGGGCTTAGAAACCTCCTGCAGCTGAAGTTTGGAMTTCCAAAGCTCTGGAGTTTTGGAAGGGTTTCATCCAACCTAAATYGTGGATTCTTGTGTTTGGAGGAGGAGGAGGGGTCCTGCTGTGGGCCCTGGCCTGAACTGGAGTCCGGGGGTCAGAAGGTCRCTGGTTTTGGGGTGCATCAACAACAGATCCAAGAGAATGGCTGGAGCTGTGCCAGGGGTGTTTWRGGTGGATTTCAGGGAAAGGTTCYTCCCCCAGAGGGAACTGGAACAGCTCCCCAGGACTTGGGCACRGCCCTGAGGCTGCCARAGCTCCAGGAGCATTTGGACAGYRCTCCCAGGGATTGTTGGGGCATCGGGGTTGAACTCTGATCCCTGTGYGTCCCTCCCAGCTCAGGATATTCCATGATCCCGTAATTCTTACAGGGAAATCCCACTTTGGTTGGATCGCCCCAAAACCTGCTGTGTGAYCTTAGGGGACACTTTCTCCAGAGCCAAAGGTGCAGCTCCTTGATCCAAATTTCCCAGCCAGGATCCAAGGAGTCCAAACCTGTCTGGGTGTTCACCTGAGTGAATTTTCTGCTCAATTCTTGCAGTGTTGGGAGAGAGGATAGGACACGAGATCTGATAATGCCAAATAAGATTGGAAATCAGTTGTGAAATGCACTCAGCTGTCAGCAAAGGTCTCAGCCGGGCTTTGCTTCCCTTTTCCTCGTGGCAAATCCTTCATCTTTAGGATTCCATCTTCCAGCCTGCCTCTGCCATAAATCCCAGATTTACAGGGCTCCCTGTGCTAATGGACTCRTTAGTGCTGCAGCTGAACAGTTAAATCCCTTCCCCATGCCAAGGATCCCTTACAAAAACCATGGAGACCAGGGATAATTATCCCAATAAATCAAACCTTGGGAATACGGACCAGGATGGGATTTGTTGAAGAAGCAGCTGGCTCAAATTGGGGAGGTTTTTGCTGTGGGATGAGGACCTTGCATTATTTAGTGTGAARCAGCAACAGCTCAACTTCCTTTGGGAGCCAAATCTTGATTTGTGTGTTTGTGTTGTTTTTGATCCCAGAGCTACAATTCCATGAGGTTTTGGGCAACAATCAACAGCACCAGTGACATGTCTGACTTTATCCCATATTTGTTGCTTCTCAAAAGCCACCAAGGACTGCTGGCACTGCCTGGGGATCGTACTTCTGGGGACAAATTTGATAGGTCAGGAGTCCAAGAGATGGAAAGGTGCAAAAATTCCTTTATTCTCTCATTTAGGGCCTCTTCCCAATGCAGATTCCCACTCTTCCAATCCCAATTTATAAAGCAGTCGAGCAAGGCCTTGACGTGGAGGGAAAAGCATCTGTTCCAAGGATGTTACTCAGCGTAATGAACCTGCTTTTCTGGACACAGAGGTTCCTTAACGAGATGGTTCGGGAGGAAATAATTAAAATTGTGACGTTGGCTTCAAAAATAGAGATTTGATGATCTGCCAGGCTGGCTCTGCCCGTGGAATATTTGCTGGGCAGCGTTCAGGAGCCAAATCGGCATTGCCCAGGAGGGTGGGATAAGGAGAGGAGAGACTTTCAGGAATGGAAGCTGAAGGCTTTCCAGAATTTCCTGAGATCATCAGAGTAATTAACAGCCCTCCCAATTTACAGCACTGGGTCTCATCTTGATAAGGTTGATGAAAATAAAATATCAGAAAGCCTTGCAGCAGGGCCAGGGGAATGAGGAGATTAAAATAAATGGTCCCCAATGCTTACGGCCCTCCTCGGAGCTGCTGTTAGGTTCAGGATAATGGGTTTGGATGCAGATAATTCCCATTTTTCCCCCTCAAAGGACTCAATTTAGACCAAGGAAAAAGTGGCTGAGTGCAAATTATAGATGTCAGTCAAGATGAAGCCTTCAAACGTGGGTTTCCTTGGATTTCCAGAGCATCTCCCGCCTCAGCCAGGCACTGAGCTCAGCCAGCACCTGCARCCCTGGAATCAGATGGAATTTCTCRGTTGCCAGAGCTGTGTTTTATCAGGATTTTAATAAGGGAGAGATGCTGATTGTGGTTCCATGCTCAGGGAGGCTGTCACTCCAAATGGAGTTTGCTCAGGTAATCAGAGCAGTGAGATCTCGCCGTGAGACAGCGCCRGGCTGGAGCTCCGTGCGCTCCTCATTCCACTCTCATCTTCACACGGAGATTTCCCAAACTCTCCTCGACTGATTGGTGGCACCTCGAGGTTGATTTGGAGCTGCAGCCCTGGCACCAGCCATCGGTGCTTTTTAACAGCCAGGGATTCAGCTCTTGACTAATTTCAGTTGGAGTCTGAATGCGGTTTTTTTCCCYTGGATGATTCTTTTTTCTCTTTGTTATCTGACACTGAAGCAAGAAACATCCCGCTCTTGAGCCGGCCACAGCCAAGARCTTGCAAAGATTTTGGCAGGGCTCAGAGGCTGGGGAGGTTTATGATGGAAACTTCTTGCTGCAATAAAAGAAATCGTTCTGTGCAACCTCTGAAGTAACCCCAGAAAAACCAACACGAGCTCGCTGCCTCCCTGGGAGCGCTGGGGAGGTCTGAGTTAATTGCCAGCATCTTTAATCTTCATTTCCCTTGTGATTTTTGCTCTGGAGCTGTAGATTGGCTCTGATTAGCTTGCCTCGAAGATCTGATTCTGTCCCCAGTTACTCTYCCATAAATCAGCCGAGCATCTTTATTACAGCTGATGAAATCGCTGTGGCGTGAGAGAAGCAGGAGGATCAGAATCAGTGAAGATCCAAAAAAAACTGAATCTGGTTGGGTTTTGTCCACTCTTACCCTGCTCCTGTGAGTGAAGTGCTCGGGAAGCATTCAGGCCAAGGATCCATGGGGTCCAAACCTGGCTATGGCTCACCTGAGTGAATTTTCTGCTGAATTCTTGCAGTGTTGGGAGAGAGGATTGGGCACAGGACTGGAGATTTTAGTGCTCTACCTCAGGGGGATTAAAGGGAGAGAAATGATTTATCCCAGCCCTGGGGAGAACTGAAGGAGCAGGGAAGGACCTGAGCAYCACCCAGGAGCTGAGTGGGGTCAGAGGATGCCTCTGCTCTCCTGGGAAGGCAGGAATCTTCTCCCCAGGCTCAGGGGTGGCACCTCCTTGCCCCCAGGTGTGGGGCACCATGAGGGCCAGCAGGATCTCCAGCACCACCTTGCCAATCATCTTAATTAACCTGCCAATCATCTTAATTGAATCTCCAGCTCTGGCCCTGCAGCTGCTGATTTTTTCTGTGCCTCATGTCTCCCCCATTGCAGCAGGATCAGGAGTTCTCACCCTCTTATCTCCCTGATAAAGGATTGGGGGTGCATCTCTTGGAGGCTCCGAACAGGAGCCTTGGGAGAGGCTCCCTGAGGGAGGGACAGTGCCAAGGAAAGAATTCCCTGGGGAAGGAAGTGGCAGGGATCTGGTGGAGCCCTGTGTCACCTCCTGCCGTGATCCCTGTGTTCTCTCTGACCCTACAGAGGCTGGGGAGGACCGGCAGTGGAGCAGAGCCCGCAGGGAAAAGGGACCTGCCCCAAAGGGACTTTGCCCCCTATAAATGTTCCAGCCCCATTCAGGGAGAGGCAGGAACAGGCAGGAGGGGTTTGGTTGCTTGGCTGCTCCACAGAGATGAGTATCAAGGCAGTTTAACCCCTTCCCTGCTCYGGGAGAATGGCAGCACTGCAGGGAAAAATGGGGATAAAGAACCTTCTGCYATGGATGGATCTCTGGGGTTAMYGAGGGYTAAAGGAATTCCCTRTGGTTKGGTCAAACCCAGTTGTGGGCAKTTGGTGACAGGASAAGGGGTAGGGGTTCTGAGCTGCCAGAGGGCAAGGTTAGATGGGATTTTGGGAAGGAATTGCTCCCTGTGAGGATGGGGAGGGGTTGGAATGGAATTCCCAGAGGTTTTTGGGGACACACCACCCAGGAAATCCCCTACACCTGTGAAGTCTGAGCCTGCTCTTCCCACAGCAAACTCCTTCCCTGCAAACCTTATTAAATCAGGGATGATRCCACCAGAATTGGGGACAGGAGCAGTTGTGGGGTTGGCCAAGRCCTCTAAGGTGAGATGGGGATGTCACTGTGGGTGAATTCAGATGGGAGCTTGGATTCTGATGGAAAWTGGAATTCCAGGAAGGAATTTCAGCTCTAGTAACGAGCTACCACTGGAAGTTGGGTGTGTTTTATCTAAATAAAAAGTGTAAATTGCGTGGCTGAGCTCACTTGGCGCTGCACGCAGCCTGGGTGGTGTTAATTAAATCCTCAGCTGCTTTTTTTAGGGGAAGGAAGGCTGAGGAAACGAGCCTCAAATCAAGCCTACGTTTAATTAAAGTCTCTCTTCCATTCAGAGTCTCTCCCACCACGATAGTGGCACTGCAGCTGGAATGCTGAGCCGGTAGGAATCWCAAAGAAATCGGGTTTGAGGAAACAAAATGAAGTTAAAAATGTGGGAATTTTCCTGATTGCCTTACATAACCAGCAGCTTTAGGTGAAACTCCAAGTCTCTGGAGGGAGAGGCTTTTTTTTTAAAAAAAAAAAAATAGAATCCCTCCTTGGAATTTCTTTGCCTCAGGACTGGAGTTTCATGTGGTTTATTTTAATGTTTCATGGTTTTAATTGGTCYAGAAACCTGTAGGAACCTCCGGCCAGTCCTTTGSCCACACATTCCTGCTCTCCCAARCCAGCTGGGAACARYRCTGGATGGATCCCAAGAGTTTCTGYGGAGCGATGGGTGCCAGGCASMATCAGAAAATTGATATTTAATAATTTTTCAAGTGACTTTTGTCCTCACRCTCTGTTTCTCTGTCTCCCTGCAGGTGATAACCCTGGAAGGATGGGTGGATATCATGTACTACGTGATGGATGCGCACTCTTTTTACAATTTTATATATTTTATATTGCTCATCATAGTAAGTATGACCTGGGAGGTTCTTCTTTCCCTTGTCCTTGGGGGGTGAAGTTGTTCCCGGGATTTTCCCAGATGGGATTCAGGATTCAGGGCTTTCCCTCCCTGTTCCCTCCAGTCCTGACTTGTCACTTGGATGTCACAAAAAATTCAGGCTTTTCCTCCTTTGGCCTCCTCAAAGTGCCAGAGGGATCCTCATTTCTTTGAAGATCCCAAAAACCTTTGAATTTCCCCTGAACCCTTTAAAATAATAACAATCTCCTAATAGCAGCGTTCCTCCCTGAGGTCTCACATTCCCAAAAAAACAAAATATTCCCCATTGGAGGTGATGGAGGCTGTCTCCAGAAGCTGCCATTCCATGTCTGTAAGGTTCTGGTTCTTCTCCTCTGGGAAGTGGAAAAGTGAAGGGTTTCAGACAGGAGGGGAGCAAAGGGGAAGGCACCACAAAGATGCCAGGCAGGACATGGGATGGAGGTGTTCAGGAGTGCTTTTGGGATTGGATTGTCCTTATGGGTGACACTGTTCTCACCAGTGGGGGTTTGGAGCCTTGGGAAGACAAACCAATTCCCACCAGCAGTGAAAATCCACGGGAAAGCCTGGATCAGAGCAGTCTGGGAGTGCCTGGAGCAGTCAGCGAGTTCTGAGCTGTAGCAATGGGCCATGAGCAGAGATTTGCTCTCCACTCCRTCCAGCCGCTCTCTACAAATGGATCCATGTGGAAAAGGCAGGAGGTGACTCATTCCCAGGTCAATCKGAGCTGGGAAAGGCACCTTTGCTGCCTGTCCAGCAGTGTCCACCCTGCAGAGCTGCCCACAAACCATCTCCCAGGAGCCTCCCCCCAGGGACTGAACAAACAATCCCAGGTTAAATCCATCCATGCCCAGGGCTGGCCCCACAGATGGTGGCACTGCCCTGATGTCACTCCCTTTTCACCCCTCAGGGCGCTGATTCCTGCTGGGAATTTCCCTGACATTTCCCTTTGGCTGATTTAGGAAACAGAGTGGTGAAAAATCACTTTGTGGGCTCAGCAGCTGAGGGGAGAACGCAGCCTTGGGTTGCATTCTTGTCCCTAGGACCTCATTTTGAAAGCCTGGTGTCACCCCAGAGCAGCTCAACCGAGTGACACTAAATCAGCCCCTCAGGAGCTCTGTGTGATGCATTTCTGTGCCAGGGGGTCCMAGCAGCACAGGGTCACAGATCCGTGGTCCCTGAGTGAACCCCCAAAACGAGGGCTCACAGATCATTTCACACCACCTTTTGGGGTGTGAAACGATTCAAGAAGAGCAGAGGATGTTCCAAACCACACAAATTGGACTGGAAATCATCTTTCCCTGCAGGTGGCCAGATGTCCCAACCCTGCTGTGGTGGTGCTGGGTCGTGTTGTGTTTCATGCACTCTGCTTTAGCAGCAAATGTGATCCCTTCGAGGGGAGGGGAGGGAAGGGAAGGAGGGGAGGGCTGCTGCTGGAATAACTGATCACGGTTCAGAGTGAACTGAGCAGCTCAGGCACACACTGACAGAACATTTGGCGAGCAGACCCTGGGATCTGGCACACTGGGAAATCCCAGGATTGCCGTGAGCCGTGCTCGTGGCAGCGAAGAGCTCTCCTTGCTTCGTGCTGTTGCCTCAACAGCCAGTTTTCAATTCTGAGACAGACACGGTTAAGGGGATAAAAGGGTTTTCCCTCGGTATTTTAATAGGATCCTGGGTGCACAGCTGAACAGGGGGGAAAAGCCAAAGATGCACCCTGCACATAACACATACACAATTTTTATAGACKTTACAAATTAGCTTATCTGTCCAGAATTCCCCAATAAGAAACTTAACAAATGAAGTAATATCYCCCTATTCTAAAAAATTCTGGATGAGGCCAGAGCYCAGTTTATACAAAGTGTTCCAGAGAGAAGGCTTCACCCAAGGTTGGAGCCTCGAGTTTTGAGATGGTATAGGGTTCACTGATCCCCTACTCAGGAAGTTTRKTCTTTCTGCCCAGCAGGACCCCAAAACTAAGCTGGAACATCAGGCTACAAGAATTACAAGCGTGCAGGCTAAGGGTACAAGGGATATATAAATAGTACAGAAGATGCCTAAAAGGGTATATAACATACATAAAACAGTATATAAAATGTATTTTTAAATGTATAAATATATATTTAATATATTTTAAAGNCTTTCTGCCCAGCAGGACCCCAAAACTAAGCTGGAACATCAGGCTACAAGAATTACAAGCGTGCAGGCTAAGGGTACTAGGGATACATAAATAGTACAGAAGATGCCTAAAAGGGTATATAACATACATAAAASAGTATATAAAATGTATTTTTAAATGTATAAATATATATTTAATATATTTTAAAGATATAAAATATATAAAAGGGTATATAAAATATATTTTAAAATACATAATATATTAAAGAGGTATATAAAAATATGTAAGGGTATATAAAATATATTAAAATACATATAAATATATATATAATAGATTTTAAAGTATATAAAATATATGTATAAGGATATAAAATATATATAAATATATATAATATATTAAAAAGGTATATAAAATGTATGTAAGGGGATATAAAATATATATAGAAATATATATAATATATTAAAAAGGTATATAAAAATATATGTAAGGGGATATAAAACATATTAAAATACTTATAAATATATATAATATATTGAAAAGGTATCTAAAATATATGTAAGGGTATGCAAAATATATTAAAATACATATATATATATAATATATTGAAAAGGTATCTAAAATATATGTAATGGTATACAAAATATATTAAAATACATATATATATATAATATATTGAAAAGGTATCTAAAACATATGTAAGGGTATACAAAATATATTAAAATACATATATATATAATATATTGAAAAGGTATCTAAAATATATAAGGGTATATAAAACATATATTTTTATTAAACTATATTAAAAATCATCAGGCATCAGCGCAGTCCCCGCTGACTCCTCTCCCCGGGCTCTCCCCAGGTCGGCTCCTTTTTCATGATCAACCTGTGCCTGGTGGTGATCGCCACGCAGTTCTCAGAGACCAAGCAGCGCGAGAACCAGCTGATGCAGGAGCAGCGRGCGCGCTACCTGTCCAACGACAGCACCATCGCCAGCTTCTCGGAGCCRGGCAGCTGCTACGAGGAGCTGCTCAAGTACATCTGCCACATCCTCAGGAAGGTCAAGCGCAGGACCATCCGCCTCTACAACAACTGGCAGAGCAAACGCCGCCAAAAAGTGAACCCCAACAGCGGCGGCGGTGGCGGAGGGGGCGGGCAGAGCCAGCGGAGCAGGAGGAGGATCACCTCCATCCACCACCTGATCCACCACCACCACCACCATCAYCACCACCACTACCACATCAGCAACGGCAGCCCGCGGGGGCCCCGCGCCAACCCCGAGATCTGCGAGCTGGAGCTGCGCACGATGAAGCCGGGCGGGCGGCTGATGCTGCCGCCACCGTCGCCTTCTCCGCAGGGCCCCGCGCCCCGTCCCGACGCCGTGCACAGCGTCTACCACGCCGATTGCCACATGGAGGGGCCCCCCGGCGGCTGCAAGGCTCCTGGTACCCCTGCCAGCAGCAAACTGGCCGGGCTGGCCCACCACAGCAGCATGAACTACCCCACCATCCTGCCTTCCCCCACCAGCAAGGGCGGCTCCGCGCCCCTTCCCGCCGGGAAGAAGAACGGGAATTCTCCMGTGGCCGTGGTTAACAGCCCGGGGAATTTGGGCCTGGATTCTTACGGGAAGCTGCAGCAGCTGGTGGGAGAGCATGGTAAGGGCAACCAAGTTGGATTTTTCTGTTTGGGGAACCTGGATGAGGTGTTAATGGCAGCCCTGAGGTGCACTGATGGTTGGGATCATTGGGATCTCTGGGATCATTGGGATCTCTGACATCATTGGGATCTTTGGGATCCTGAGATCATTGGGATCATTGGGATCTCTGAGATCATTGGGATCATTGGGAGGGCACTGGAGCTAGAGGTGGGCCAGGCTGGGGCTGGGAGCTCTGTTCCCTCCATCCCTGTGTTTGCAGCTCCTGGATAGCCCAGGCTGGAGGTTTCTCTCTTGTGGTTGCAGAACGGGGATTTTGAGCTCCTCTCGTGTGCTTTGTGTTATCCAGGAGGGTCTCCCTCTCTTCTCACCCCAGAATAGATCTGTGCAACCCCTGGAATTGCATGTTCAGGCAGTGATGGAGCTGCCAGCTCCAGCAGGAGGATCAGGAGATGATGCCTTGAATGGGGTGAGCAGAGGGGAGCTCGCGGAGGAACACAAAATACAAGAAATTGAAGAGTTTAAAACAGGCAAGCACTGAAAGAACACGAACCAGACTCTTCCAGTGCTGCTCTGACAGACCCTGGAGCCTCTGAATTTCTGTTTGGCGAGGAGCAGCAAAAGGTTCGGTGCTCAGAGGCCATGTGGAGGGCAGGGCAGGAGCAGAGCTGCCCATCTCAGCCTTTCCCACGTCCAGCAGAAATGTAGGGCTGAGTTCTCCTGCAGATTTGGGTCTCCATTCGATCTGAGGAGCATTTTGGGGCACTCTGCGGTACCTCTGCCCCATCCCCTCTGTATAGACGCAGCCACCCCAACACTGGCAAGTTTTATCTCCTCTCACATGTAAATCACCCACTGGAGCAGCAATTCCACCCAAGGCTTGGATTTCTATTTTCTAAAATGTTTTCCCAGGCCTCATGACTGAAGCTAAAAGCCGCAAAAAATACTCTTAAACCCTCAAACAGCAAGAAAACAAAAAGATCCAGCTTCTATTTTTTAATCTCTTTAAGCCAAACTCGTCATTTGTTTTTTTCAGTGCCTGTGTTTTCCAAAACCATTTCTTTGCGTGTGCATGGACACAAATATTTACCCTGGTGATGCACGCGCTGAAAAAATACCGAACCCAGCTTGTGGGGGGGTCACAGGAAAGGGAGCTGGACAGGGAGCTTGGGTGGCTTGTCTTTGTTAATTTTGATGTTTTTAAGGGCTGCACAAAAGGGTAAAAGTGGATTGTTTATAGAAACCGCCTCGAGCAGACGCTTCCGAACGCTCGGGAGCTTGGCACGGGGGGCAAGGTTACTGCCAACAGCTCTGTTGTTCGGCAAGGACTTTGTATAAATCACTGCTGCATCCTTCACTGTGCCTGCAAATTAATTTTTTGGAGAGTGTGGTTTTACCTTGAGATAAAAACCCCGGGCTCTGCAGAAGTCTGGGACTGGGGAAGAAAGGAGGAGGAGGAGGAGGAGGAGGAGGAGAGCTGGTGAAGTCAGAGGTTTGGATCCTCATGTTCGCTGCTGGGGTCCTTTTTAGGAGAAGAAAGGCCCAAATCTCAGTCCCAGCTGTGACATCCCTGAGCCGGTTCGGTGATTTAAGATTTTTCCCTGCAGCCTGGGGTGATTCTTTGAAAGCTGGGATTAGATTGAGCTGTCATTAATAACACAATTACAGCGTCCTCTTTCCACAGAGGGATTGCAGCCCGGAGGATGCCAAAACGCTTTACACAAATCTCCTGGAATTGTTTTGGCTCCTCCAGAAATGTGGGAAGGGCTGGAAGGTGGCRAGAGGCTGCTTCTCCATCCTCTGAGGAAAACGGGCTGGGAAGGGGTTCAGGGCAGCCGGAGGCACTGGGAGTGCCCAGCTCTTCCCTTCCATGGATCTGGCTCTTCCCAGCCCTCCTTCCCACTCCTGCCACACCAGCAGGGCAYGGACAGGGTCAGTTCTGCACCAGGAGTGACCTCCAGGCTTTCAGGAGGATCTGTGAGTGCCGGGTGTGGCTCTGCCAGGCACAGCCCCGACTCCCCGTTTCTCCATCCCGAAAACTGAGCTAAAACCCCAAGCTCTCCGGAGCCTCCCTCAGCCTTTTAGGGCAAACAAAGAGCCTTTAACTTTCCCAAAAGATCCTTTAACTGTCTCCATCCTCTCCCCAGTCAGCAGGCCGAGAGTTTTCAGTGCAGGGGGAGCACAGGAGCGATAATGGAGAGCATTAAGGGGCATTAAGAGCCCGGGCTCTCCCAGCCCCAGCCGGGGGCAGGGTTGGTTCCTGCTGGGAAGGATGCAGCTGTGGAGGAGAGCAGAGCGATCTCCTGCCTTCTCTGTGGCGGATGAGAAGAGCTCCAGTACAGCCTGTTCCCCGCGTTCCCGTGCCCCGCGACGCTGGAGGTTATTTTAGCAGGCAGCCAAGGAGACTCTGGTATTTTGAAGACATCTGCGGCGCCAGGGCTCCTCGTATCGCTTTTAACACTTTGAGAGCATCAAAAGCCATCTGGACAAACGCCTCCCCGTGCTCCTCCAGAGGCCGGGCCGAGCTTTCCATCCTGGGATCCATCCTGAAGGGGATCACCGCGCTGATGGGCGAGGGGCAAAACATTCCTGATCCTCCCGGTGGCTTTGAYGCAATTCCCGGGAGCCAGGCCTGAATCCCAAGGTTGTTCTGAAGGCCACTAATATCCGTGTGACATTCAGACAAGGGAAATGTGTTTTGACTCGTGTCACATGCCAGCTTTCCAGCGAAGGGATGCGTTGGCTCTGTTTGGTGCTGCCTTCTGTCCCGTGCCCGGCCGGGAGCGGCTGGAATCAGCATTCCTGCTGGGAGAGCTCCAAGCTCCAGGGCACGGAGCCAGGAGCAGCCGTTGCTTTCAGCCTGGTGGCCACAAAATGCACCCAAGCGATCCCCATYGCACCTCCAGACAGGGACAGGGGGATGTGGCACTTAGGGACAGGGTTTATTGRTGCTGGGTGSCTGTCAGTGGTGTCTCTCGGTGGCTCACGGTGCGCTGTCCCCGCAGGTCTCCACCGGACGCCCAGCCGGCTGTCGGGGCTGAGCGCTGCCGGGGCGCTGCCGGGCACGGGCGGCCCCAGGCCGGGCTGTGAGCTGCAGGACTGTCCCTTCTGTGCCAGCCTCCTGGACGAGGAATTCGCCCTCAGTGACTCCGACAGCAACGGCGACTCCGACAGCAACGGCGTCTACGAGTTCACGCAGGACCTGCGGCACGGCGACCGCCGGGACCAACTGCAGCAGCAGCAGCAGCAGCAGCAACGGAGCAGGAGGAGGAGGAAGAAGAAGAAGGCCAAGGAGAGGAACAAGGTGACCAAGCTGTGGCGGGCGTTCGGCACCAAGCTCAAGAGGATCGTGGAGAGCAAATATTTCAACCGCGGGATCATGATCGCCATCCTCATCAACACCCTCAGCATGGGCATCGAGTACCAYGAGCAGGTCAGTGCCTGGAGCCCTCAGGGGGTGGTTTGGGTCGCTCTCAAAGCCGTGTCAGGAGGAGCAATGATGTTTATGCCAGCTGGAAATGGGGYTGGAGATGAGCCTGTGAGGGGCAGGAGGATTCTTCAGGGTGTGGGACATGTGGCAGCGCTGCTGGGGCATGCAGAGCTGAAATGGGTGTGATGGATTTGTCTGCGCCAAGCCTGGCTGCTCGTTGGCCGGGAATTATTCATATAAATATGAATTTTTGTGGTGGAAATAACTTTGGTCTGATGGTTGCAGGGGAGATAATCCAGGCAGAAATTTCTGCTTTGATCTGGACCTTTATTTAGAGACTTGAACTATCAGGGAATGCTAAAAGCAGCAAAGAAAAGAAATTAGAGTCTTTAAAAAGCTTTCATTTGCTCTCATCCTGTGTGAGCAGGTTTTTGTTGAAGTGTTTGGAGGGAGGGAGTAAGGGAGGGAGGAGGAACGGTGCCTGCTCTTGCCAGCATTGGGAGGGCAGGAATTGGTGCTGGAGCTGAGGGGCTGTGCCCTGGGAGAGGGAGCTGAAGCATGGGWGCATCTCCACGTGGTTATCCCAGCAAAGTTGTGCTCTTCTGGGCTCTTCTTTCTTGGAAAAACTGGGGATTTTCCGCTGTTTTCTTGAGGTGTGCTCAGGAATTCTTCATGCCCCCACCAGTGAGCCCAGGATCTGCTCTTCTGGGATCAAACACTTCCAATGCTCCCCCAAAACATTCTCTGCAGGGTCACGACCAGGTCAGGGTTATTTATAAAGCTGCTGCTCCTCCCTTCCAAGGTCTGTCYGTTCAGGAGTGAGGAGGGAAGGCAGAGCAGTGTAACACCCACAGGCAGGACGGGAGACTTGGCAGCTCCTTCTCCATCATTGCCTGGAGTTCAGTGTTGCTCAGGACCATGACAAACAGCCCTCTGGAGTGCTGCTACCTCATTTTTTCTCCATTCCCGTGCTTTAACCCTCGCCTGTTTTAGGCTGAGATGTATTTTCCKTCCAAAAAAGCAGGACTCAGCTGAAACACAGCCTCAGCCGTGCACCAACAAATCAGGATTCCTGCAAAGTGTCCAAATCCAACGAGGATTGAGCTGTCCCTGTCAGCTCCCCGCTGAATCCTGCTTAGTTGTTCAGCAAGATGCACTAAAATTGGGAAATCCACCTTGTCGGTGGCTGCTGAACAGGCCATTCATTCCTCATTTCTGCATGGATACTCCTCTGGCAGGCGGATACAGCTTTGTCAGCCCTTGGATRTGGCCGTGATGGGAGCTGGGGGAAAACCTGAGGCAGGGAGAAAATGCAGGGATCCCAGAGCGTGTCCCCAGTCCCTCCCAGAAAGGCACATTGTGATAATCACAGCCCCGCTGCTAACAAAGGAGAGCTGTAGCTGCCTGGCTTTTATTGGATTTTACCTTGTAAAAAATCAGCTTTAGGGCATCTTGAAGCCAGTAGCAATAGATTCCGGAGCTTTTTGGCTGCGGAGCGTCAGATCCCTGCCAGCTCCGCTCGCAGGCACTGCCCGATTAAAAGGGAGGAATTTGGAAGTGAAAGCTGTAAAAGTCACTCCACGTGCCCGGGACACCGGGATAATGAGGCGTGGAGGTGTCAGAGCCCAATCTGGTGACACCTCTCCCAAGCCCTCTGCTCTCAGCCGTGTCCCAGGGGTTGAGGCAGTGTCCAAATCCAACAAAAACCTGCTCCGGGCTCCCAGGTTTGGCACAAAAATCTGTGGCTTCAAAGTGGGGTGATTTTTGAGCCCCCCTAGTGTGAGAATTGGCTGCAAGGCTCGGGATGGGGCTGAGTTTGTGTGGAGAGCAGGAGGAGGGGGCTGGGTGAAGTGCGGGGTTGGGGTGGAGGGGAGGGAGAGCGGCTCCGTTCGGGGTTCGGGATGGAGATGGAGCCGGGCTCTGCCTCTGCTCCTCTCCGCTCGCCCCGGGACCGGCCGAGCTCCGCAGAGAAGTCTCACGGAGCCCTCTTGAGGCAGCGGAGCATCATTGTCTGGGTCTCGTGGATGCGGGAATCGCGGCTGCACGGTGCCACGCTGGAGGCAAAACCCGCTGGGGTTCCGGCCCTGCTTTGGAATCAGAGAAGATCCCGATTCAGGAGGGTCCCACAGGGATCACGGATCCAGGCTGGGTTGGAAGGGAATTTTAGGGATCATCCAGTTCCAATCCCAACACCTTCCACTGTCCCAGGGTGCTCCAAGCCCCGTCCAGCCTGGCCTTGGACACTTCCAGGGATTCAGGGGCAGCCACAGCTTCTCTGGGAATGTGTGCCAGGGCCTCCCAACTTCTCAGATAAGAATCTCCTCCAAACCATCGTTCCAAACCATCCCCCTAGAGGGGATCCTGTCCCATGCCTGAGAACACAACTCCCGGAAAGATGAGGAGATCCAGAACAGCTTTGCAGAGCTGATCCTGCTTCTCTCACGAGGCACAACCAAGATTCCATGGCAGCACAGCCCATCAAGAGCAGGAGGGAAGCGTTTCCTCGGCGCTCCCGGTGCTGGGAGCAGCCGGATCCTGCCCAGTACATCCGCAGGGTTCACACCCAGCTCCACCGGGACACGGCTGGGAATGAGGAGGTTTTGGGGAGCTGCTCATCAGCAGCAGCATCGCTTGGATTTCACGGGTTAATTCAGAGGCCTGGAGTCCCTGGGTGTTCTTTCCCTCCTGCGCCGTGTTTATTTCTTTATTTCTTTCTTTATTTCTRTATTTCTTTATTAATCTGTCCATCTCCAGCACAGTGAGCACTCCCACGGACGAGGAGAGCCAAGTGCAGAGAGGAAGGCGATCTTTGCATTAATCTTCCCGGCGATCTCAGAACGCTGGATGAGTTTGCTCTGCGCTCATTGCAGCTGACAGCTCCCCAGAGATCCTGAGAATGTGCCACGGCACTGCAGCAGCCGGGCGGGAGGAGGGCACTGCAAAGGCATCACCTCTGCCGTGCCTTTGGGGTGCTGGGCTGGGATCCCTGCCTCTGCTRTCCCATTCCAGGATGTTTCCAAGCGCCTCTCTGCTAAGGAAAACCGATTCTTTTCTGCCCCACAGTCAGCTTGGAGGATTTCTCCAGGCAATAATTGCTGCTCCTTCAGCCTGCTCCGTGATTATCCAGGAGAGGRACAGAGCCCTCCCATTGCCCAGGAGAGGTGCTGGTGTTATCCCTGCAGAGAGAAACGATCCAGGAGCCCCCCTCCTGTCTTCCCAGAAGGATTCACTGAAGGAGCTGTTGATACTTGTAATGATTCCCCATAAAAGGCTCCATTTACATCAAATGGCACTAGAAACAGTTGCTTTATATTCACTTCTCAGCACAGAAGTACAAATTAGTATTTGTTCCAAGCTATTGCCGTTCAAAGAGCTTTTAATTGCTTTTCTGATCCCTCATCCATGGCGCGTTTGCTCGGGAGCAGCTGCCTTTGGAGCAGYTCGGGGCTGACCTTGAGGGGCAGCCGGCGGTCCGTGGCTTGTCAGAGGTAGAGGAAGGCTGTTCTGAGCGGAACGTTTCATTATTCTGGAGTAAAAGTCGCTCCGCGTGATTGAAGGCAGCGCTCGCCTCGGCGGGGACGTCCTCTCTTAGCGTTTGCCAGTTCTGGCTTGAAAAATTGGTTTGGCGTGGAAAGCTCGGCGCTTACTCAGACAGCGGAGCAGAATTTTTAAGCGGTGTTTGAAGCAAATTGCTGAAATTCCTTCTGAGTTRGGAGTCAATAAAATCGCACCCTGAGCTGAGATTGGCTCTTTCAGCTGGCAAAACTTGTTGGCTCTTCCAGATTTTTGCAGGATCCAATTTTAAGGACTCGCACKCTGGCTGAATTTGAGGAAAACTGATTCCCCCGGCCCAGCCTGTGAAAATCCACCCCAGCGTGTTTGTCGTTGTTGTATAAATGGTGTGAGACTCACTCTGCCCTCAGGAGCCCTTGGCTTTGTGTTTGGGCTGTGCCAGCCACTTCCAAACTGCCCCTTCCCTGCYCCAAGGTCCCAGCAGCGAGGGGACAACTCTCCCCGAGCCTTGGCTGGACCAGTGGAAAACACACCTGTGATGGGAATTTGGCTTTATCCACAAATTGTGGATGACCTGAATTCTATCTCCACCTCTGGGAAGGGCTTTGCCTGGTGAACTTTGGGAACAAAGGGGTGTTTTCCATCTTTTGTGCCCCGAGATGTTTTTATTGCATATCCAAGCCCCCTGTTCTTCAGGTCAGCATCAGGTTGGGGATTCCCTCTGRGAATCCAGCAGCACTTGCATGTGGATATTCCCACCTGGAAGGTGCCATTCCCACCTGAGAGGGAATCAGGAATCGGAGACAGAACAGGATGAACTGCAAGTGTTGGCAGGGAAATTCCAGGTGTCCTGGCTCAGTGTTGGATCACTGTCATGGATAAATCATGCCCTTCCTCACGGAGCCTCCTCTCTCCCCCTTCTCTGTAATTTCAGGGCTCCTCCCCTGCTCTGTTTTCCTTCTCTGGGATCGGATGTTCTCGGGATATTTTTTTTTACTATAAAAGGGAAAGAGCTCCCGGAGCTCCTTCCATCGCTGGGAATGGCAGCAGAGCAGGCAGGAGCAGCCCCTCTGCAGGGCCGGGGCTCAGAGCTCAGCCTGGGCAGAGCCAGGGCACAGGACACTTCCAGCCAGAACTGGCTCCTCTGGATGTGCCCATCWGCCATGGCAATGTCCGGGTATTCCCTGTGGAATTCCCTGTTTCCCACTGCCCGTGGCTGGGTTGCTTCCCCTCACTTGTGCCGTTTGTTGTGCTCTGTGGGGAGGGATTGGGATGGAAATCCCAGCCCAGGTGACACTTCCCAAGCAGGTGACACTGCCAGCGTACTGGGCTGAGCTGCTGCCTGGAGACCGGGGATGTGCTCAGTCCCACACCGTGCAGAACCCTCCCAGATGTATTTTTCCCATCTGGATTCCACACCCCCAGCACCCCAATCCCAGGCAAACCCCCCCGGGATGCTGAGGATGGATTGTTTGCATTTCGGCTGGCAGGTGACATCCACCGGGCAGGATCCAGACCCGGGATGAGAGCAGGGCACTTCTACTCGCTGCATTCCGGCAAGAATGGCTGTAAATCCCAGCCGCATTCCATCAGGAATGGCTGTCAATGCCAGCCACATTCCATCAGGAATGGCTGTCAATCCCAGCTGCAGTCCATCAGGAATGCACATCAATCCCAGCTGCATTCCATTGGGAATGCCCATAAATCCCAGCTGCATTTCATCGGGAATGCCCATCAATCCCAGCTGCATTTCATCGGGAATGTCCATCAATCCCAGCTGCATTTCATCGGGAATGCCCATCAATCCCAGCTGCATTCCATCAGGAATGCCCATCAATCCCAGCTGCATTCCATCAGGAATGCCTATAAATCCCAGCCAGCCCCTCCTCCCTCCTTGTGGCTCCGATGTGCCCCAGTAGGGCAGGCACGGTGTGCCCGCTCTGTGCC